CTGCAGAAACAAAGCCCTGCTGATCTCTATCTGTCTGTCACTCAGGGCGGCACCGCGGCAGTGTGCGCACGTGGGGAAGCATCTCCGCGTCCCCAGACCTGGACTGACTTCGTGAACACTGACACACAGCGTCTTTCCAAATTCCTTGACCTCGTGCCCTTGGTGTTCTCTGGCGGTGCCATAAATGCAGCCTTATTAGCCGGGACGTGGGAAGTCTGCCTGAATCGCATATTAATTTTGTCTATGAAAAGAACCTCAATTAACTGGAACTTCCCTACAGGAATCCGTAATTAACTGCCCCCCTTCCTTAATCTTGTTAACCGGCAGACAAACCAAGGACAACAACAGGCTTGAGGAAGTCATGAAAAATCCGCCATCAGCAGCCTTGCGGAGTGACCAACAGCACAGACTTGGCCACGGGTTACACACTCTGTCACCTACAGTCAATGCTGCCTTTGACCTCCGACCGTCATTGACCTTAAGGACAATTTAAAAAAATATCCCACCACATTTACTTTCTCCCTCCTCCTTCCCCTGAATTTTTCTACACTCTTTGGAAGTTGCAGGTAGCGTGATGCTTTGCCCTGAAATATTCCTAAGGAAAAGGACATCTGCTTCCATGATCGCAAAACCATCATCATTCTTAAGAAATGTGACGTGGATACAGAACCGTTCACTGACTCAGTCCAGATGCAAAGTTAGATCCAGGATCCAACCACCAACCACATTCAGGGGTCAGTGTCCTCAGCCCTGAGAACAATTTTCCCTGTTTTATTTTCCTTTTGTGGAGAAGGGGTGTCCCTCTGGTGCCTAAGCTGGTCTCCAACTCCTGGGCTCAAGCCATCTTCCTGCCTCAGCCTCGGGAAGTGTTGGAGGACAGGCAAGAGCCACTGAGCCCAGACCCATAATTTTTTCTCTTTCTTGGACTGAAAGAGGGGAATAGGACAGTTCTCTGTCAGCTGTTCCACAATTAGAATTTTTTAACAGCTTCATTGAGGTATAAGTAACATACAAGAAGTTACACACATTCGAAGTGCAGGGTTTGATAATGGTGCACACAGGTACCACAGGGACACGTGAAACCACCACCACAACCGTGGCATCCACGGCCCCTCAGGAGGTCCTGGGCCCTTTTGTCACCTCTCCGCCCACACTCATCTGCCCCAAGCACCAGGACCTGCAGGTTTCCCTGACTACAAGGACTTCCCAGGTTCTCGAACGCCACCCAAACGAAGCCGTACAGCACGCAGCCTTTCCCGACCTCTCTCACTCGGGGCGACTGTGCAGCACCCAGCCTTTCCCCACCTCTCTCACTCGGGGCGACTGTGCAGCACCCAGCCTTTCCCCACCTCGTCATCACCTCCAGCGCACCGCGCTGTCAAGCAGACACCACACAACAGAACTATAATCCCACAACAAACTCTCTCACATCGAGAAACAGCACCTCGATGCGCACCCCCACAGAAACTTTCCCAGACACAACAATCACCACAAACATCTCACTCAGGAACAAAGGAATGAACATAAGATACAAGAAATCGAGCACCAAACCCAGACCACAAACAAGACTATAAATCATCCACACCTCTCTCACACCACATACACAGAAGAAGGCGACAAACCTCCCAAGGAGGGCAGCACCCCCAACCACCAGCACGACCTTAATTCCCACCAACCAAGAATCCTCTCCCCTCTCAGGAAACACCACCCCCACACCCCCACCCCCCCCAGGCGCACTGCCTCCACAACCCGCACACGCCCCCCAACACAGAAACCCCATCACATCTCCCAGAACCCAAACAAACAAATCATCATCCACATCGGAAAAAACCCGGACGCAGATTAAATATACTATATACCAAATAAATTACACCAAACACCAAATATAACTGTAGCAAAGCACACAGCACACATATAAAAAAAACAATCGCAAGAAACGACCACAACATCATCTCACAAAAATCGGAATAGATGCCTCACCGATACAACAAACAAGGAAGCCACGCAGCGACCCTTAAAATCGCCACCACATCACCACTCTCTCGCGACCGAGACGCCAAACATGATCACAAGCACAAGGCAGACCCTTAATCCCAAGCCAAAAATCATCAATACACCATCCAAGGAAACCACCAGAGCAGAACTGTAGCAAGCACCATACCAGACCCACACATATACATTCCACCAACATCAAAAAATCTCACAAACAAACAAGCAAAAAAAATCAAGCAAAAACAAAAACAAAAAAAAAGGAAGCGAACTGTAGAGCAAACAGGGGGGCGCAGCCTTCCCGACTCTCTCACTCGGGGCGACTGTGCAGCACCAGCCTTTCCCGACCTCTCTCACACTGGGGCGACTGTGCGCAGCCCAGCCTTTCCCACCTCTCTCACTGGGGACGACTGTGCAGCACGCAGCTTTCCCGACCTCTTCTCACTCGAGGCGACTGGTGCAGCACCAGCCTTTCCCACCTCTCTCACTCGGGGCGACTGTGCAGCACCCAGCCTTTCCCGACCTCTCTCACTCGGGCGCGCTGTGCAGCACCCAGCCTTTCCCGCGACTCTCTCACTCGGGGCGACTGTGCGCACGCAGCTTTCCCGAACCTCTCTCAACTCCGGGGCGAGCTGTAAGCAGCACACCAGCCTTTCCCCACTCTCTCACCGGGGCGTGACTGTGCAGACACCATAGCTCTTTCCCGACTCCTCTTCAGCTCGGGGCGACTGTGCGACACAGCCTTTCCTGACCTCTCTCGACATCGGAGTGGACTGTGCAGCACGCCAGCCTTTATCCCGACCTCTCTCTCTCGGGGCGACTGTGCAGCACCCAGCCTTTCCGCGACCGTCTCTCACTCCGGGGCGACTGGGCAGGCACCCAGCCTTTCCAGACGGCTCTCTCACTCGGGGCGACTGTAGCAGCACGGCAGCCTTTCGCGACTCTCTCACTCGGGGGACTGTGCAGCACCCAGCCTTTCCCCACCTCTCTCACTCGGGGCGACTGTGCAGCACCCAGCCTTTCCCCACCTCTCTCACTCGGGGTGACTGTGCAGCACCCAGCCTTTCCCGACCTCTCTCACTCGGGGCGACTGTGCAGCACCCAGCCTTTCCCGACCTCTCTCAGTAGGAGCGACTGTTCCGAGGCCGGTTCACGCCCTGGCCTTGCTGGGCAGCAGGACAGACACCATCGCACGATAGACGGCAGTTTCCTTCTTACCCACACGCCTGTGCGTGGTGAGCGCTCTGTGTGCTGTGCCGCCCCACAGCACAGGGTCTGTCTGTGACCACGTCCCCACCGACTGCAAGCCTGACGGGAGGTGACCTCAGCGTCACCTGCAGACCTCAGCACACAGTGCCGGATCCCGACTGGGCCCAGGTCTTTGTGGGGGGAGCACAAGACGGGAGGGGGGCCCCACAGCCGCGAGGCTGGGGCTGACGCGTGGTGACAGCCGAGCTGGGCAGCCTGGGAGCGACAGCGGGTGCTTGGGCCGAGGCTGTGCCGACACACGGGCGGCAGCGGGGCCTGATGCTGCCACTCACGGGTCAGGGAGGGAGGGACAAGCAACTCTGGGGACAGAGGGGCTGATGTGGGGTCTGGGCAGGCAGGCCCGAGGTTTGCTCACGGTCTGTGACTGCCGTGGTCCCCGGAGGACAGAAAAAGGGGGACCAGAGCAGGGACAGTGCGCAGGGCACCGAGGGAAGGCCAGGCACGGAGCTGGGCCAGCCGCGGGCCACACGCCACGGAGAGGCTGCCAGGGGGCGCTTTGCCCTGGAAGAGCGGGAGGGACAAGCCGAGCTGGCAGGAGAAGGCAGCCAGGACCCGCACCTGGACATGTGAGGCTTGCGGAGGGGCAGGCGGGACGTGGGGGGCCCGCCCACAGCGTCGGGCCCGGTGTTGTGCGGGGTGGCACTTTCTTTCAAAGAGAAAGCGGGGAAGGGGCTGGCCTTGCGACGCTCGGGACAGACGGAGACTACTCACGCTGTCCACGGCGAGGATCTTGGCCCAGATGAACACCAGCAGCGGCCTGAGCTCGCGGGCCGAGCTCTGGAGCAGTTTGAGCACGTAGGGGAAGATGCCGACGGACAAGGCCTGGGGGAGAAGGGGGGGTCAGTGTGTGCCTGTGGGACAGGGCGGTGGGGGGTGGGAGGGGGGCCAGTGCAGCCACGCAGGGACGCTGCGCGTGTGGGCAACGTGGCGGGAACCAATGAGCCTCCCTTAGGTGAAGGGAGGCTCCTCCAGGTTCACTCTTCTCTGACCTATCCCTGGCGGCTACTGGTGCTTCCAGCCTGGCGGGGCTGGAGCCCAGGACGTGCCACCGCGCATCTGGGGCCCAGGGCCCTGGCCCGAGGGGGGGCCACCCGCTCTCAGCCACAGAGCAACCTGCGCCTTCCTTGGGACACCTGTGTACGGGCCACACCCGCCTCGCTCCAACCTCGCCTCTGTGCTTGGGGACAACCCTGGAGAAAGACAGCTGCCTGGTTTCACCTCTGCCACGCTCTGCCATCTTAAATGGCCCCCGCTGCTGCCCTGCGCTAGCGGGACGAGTGACCAAAGCTTCAGAACTGCACTGCGGTGAGGGTGAGGACAGCGGGAGGACCCAGGCCCCTGCAGGGAGGAGCCACCACGCGGGGCTTGTGGCCACTGCGTAGAAAGCTGCGCACTAACACCACCTCCGTCCTGCAGCGGCGAAACCCAACACCAGGAAGGGAAAGAGGGTGAGGCCATCACATGAACCCCACAACGTAGAGCACCCCGGAAGTTGCATAGACCACAGGGTAAGCTCTTCGGGGGCCTCAGGACGCCCTGCGGTGGAAACTCACTTGGCTGCAGCTGGGTCACAGACCATACCGTGGAATCTGACCTCCACCCCTCCACCTCACCGCCCCGGCCCGAGTTAACGCAGAAGGTATGTACGTACCAGGCTCACCGCCCAGGGACCCAGGTCCAGAAATCTGCCCAGCAGGTCCAGGGCTCGCAGCCGGTGCACCTGGCTCAGCAGCACCTGGAAAAGCAAGAAGGAGACTGCACCACAGAAACCACGCGGCCCCTGAGGGGCCCCAGCTCTGCAGGGCCTGGCCGCACAGCACCGACCTGGCGCCGGGTGACACCGTGCGCCCGCAGCTGCTGCTCCTCTCTCTGCAGGGCCTGCTTTTGGACAGCCCGAGAAAACACTCTGTATTCCTTCATCACGCAGACAAAACATGCTTACTGTAGGAAGTACTAGAACAAACACTTTGTAATTGCATTTATTTTTAAAAAAGCTCATTGGTGACACGCTGGTATATGGACTTGCAGTCGTTGTTCTCTATGTACACACTTCTCTTATTTATTCTAAACGAGGCAACATATTATCATATTTCTCATCTCCTTTTTAGACTAAGTGACGTGTTCTGGCCGTGTCACTCCCAGCGGCAGCTCAGCGCCGCACTTACGGAAACGCACGTGCTTCCTGTAAGCAGCCTGCGCTGCCAGACCTTCACCTCATCGTCAAAGCCTGCTGCCATAAACAACACGGGGGGAACATCCTACTACTGTGTGTCCCCGAAAATAAGACAGGGTCTTATATTTATTCTTCCTCAAGAAGACACCCTAGGGCTTATTTTCAGAGGATGTGGGGTTTTTTTTGTTTTTAAGTACGGTACAACCCTCTACATTTATTCAAATATAGTTAAGTCATCTTCTTTTGGAACATCATCATAACTCTCCAAACCCCGAATTCCATCCTGAATTTCTTGAGACTCTATTTCCTTTAGAACCACTGGCCCCAATCGCTCATGTGGAGCACCAGAGCTCTCACGGGGCAGATGAGAAGGGCTGCTCATCTTCTTTCCCGCTCCGAGACAAAATGCACGGGTTGTGCAGATGCGCTGCATAGCCACGCCCATCACTAGGGCTTATTTTTGGAGTAGGGCTTATATTGCGCACATGCTTAGAAATCCTGCTGGGCTTATTTTATGGGTAGGTCTTATTTTCAGGGAAACATGGTAGGACGCATCTGTACACTCCTAGGGAACGTTGAGAGTGACAAGGATGAGTTAGGGCACATGTGCTCACATCATCAAATTACCCTCCAGCTGCGATTCTTGCTTTCAACAAGCAGCACGTGGTGTCTCTCCCCACTGCCATTGCTGGTTGCCAGGCAGTACCCACTGCTGTGTGGCCTCGCGTGACTTAACTAACAACTCTGAACCCTAATTTGTTAATATTAAGGATAACACGACACCGCACAAGGGCTTTATGAAGTAACAAAGGCAGGGAATAACAGTAGCCCGTATCACACTATTATCATCATTTGTCAATGTGATGAGGAAAACACGTCCTTTTTAACCAGAATTTCTTTGACCACAAGAGGCATGGAGCACTTTTTCACAGGTTAATTGGCTATTTCACTAGTGGACTGGCCGTGCATGTCCTTGTTTTTCCTCCTCAGTGCTTGGCTTTTACTTATGGATACGTGAGAGTTCTTTATGAAAGAGAACCGTATGCTGTATGTTTTGCTTGTGTTTCCTTTTTGCTGTTACATCAAAGGTTTACACGTTTGACGGAGTCCTTTATGTCTATCTTCCCTTTACGATGCTCACGCTGGCAGGTGCGTGCTGAGTCCCTCGGATCCAGGGCGTCGGGACAGGTGTTCACAGGGCAGGTTCCGCAGCCAACCGCCCGGTCGTCTCTGAATGGCGGCAGAGCTACGGACAGATGTGACCCGGGAGGCCTGGCCCAGCCGGGGCTCTCGGAAGGTTTCCCCCGCCCCCAGCTGGGAGATGCACAGGACGCAGCCAGGCAGCCGGGTGGCGAGGGTGACCACTGGGTTCCAGGTGAAGGAGCCAGGACAGGTGGGGGCGTCTGAGGAGGGCTGGGGCCAGACCCGGTGAGGCCCTGCGCGCTGGTGCCGAGAGTCTGGTTTGTGCCGACAGCAAGAAGCCGCCTCTGGCTGATGGTGAGCAGCAGTGACCCGTCCAGTCTGCCTGCCGTGGGGACTGGCCTGGCAGGAGGCTGGGGTGGGGACGGTGGACCTGACTGTGGTGTGGAGAGACCCGGAAGGCCGAGAAGAGGAGGGACCAGGAAGAGGAAGCTCTGGAAGAGAAGGTTTGGAACGAGTTTGACAGCCGTCGAGAAGCAAGAGAAAAGGATGAGAGGTCAGGGACACGGGGGAGGGTGGGTCACTGCTGGATGGAGTCAGGTAGAGGAGGGGCTCCCACAGGCCACGCGGGATGGAGAGCAGGGGACGTGGCTCCTGGGGCGGCAGCAAGACTTATGCAGAGGACACTGCAGACCCAGGACTGTGGCGTGGTGGGTCATGGGGATGGCAGCCAGGCCAGGCGGGGAGGGCGGGAGACTGGCCTGTCCAGCTGGCAGCAGAGAAGGAGCGGTGGGCCCAGCGGCCAGAATACGTCTCGAGTCAGCCTCTCACGTTTGTATTTTGGAGATGCTGAGAGATGCTCTGGAGCAGAAGCGGGAGCGGCGCGTGGACCGCTCACGGCGGCCCGTGAGTTGGAACCTGAGCCCCGCTCTCCACTCTCCGCCTGGGCGGCCGTCTGTGCCGCCGCTGCCTGGAGGCCGGGCTCTGAGGGCAGTGGGCAGAGAAGCGTGGGCTGCGGGCCAGCTGACCTGGTGGAAAAGGCCCGACACTCGTCATGAGTGACAGCGGCGGGGCGCCCCTTCCGTCACTGCAGACGCTCTTGGTGCCGCGCCCCTGCAGCGCACGCTGACGCCTCCTGGCCCGAGCCGGCGCCGAGACTCTTGGGCAGCATGGGACTCTGTGCTGCGATTATTAACATTTATTTGAAAATAAACATTGTCAATAAAGAGTATTAGGAAAAACGTTCAGCATTGGTTTTTCCAAACATTATGTGTACTTTTTAAAAAGCCAAAAAAACTCCTGTTTCAGACCATTCCAGGACCCGGGTAATTATGGTGATAACGGTGGTGAACCGAACGAGCCGCTGAGATTTCCTGTGAATCCAGCTGGACTAATCACGGCCCCACGAACACCCGGATCACCACAGAGCTGGGAGGTGACCCTGCGTCACTGCCCCGTGCGCAGACAGGGCTGGGCTTCCGGGCCGAGGCGGGTCGCCGGAGCCGCCTCACGAGGCAGATTCCACGGCTGTGGCCCTGGAGCGCCAGACCGCGCAGGCCGGGCGCCTGGAACACCTGACGCCTGGCGACCGTGAGACCTTATAGAGTCCTTAGGGTACAACGTGTAACCGCGACAACACCAGGTTGTCATTCTGCTGCCACCTGCTACTAATCCTGCACTTTCTGTGTGCAAAAAATCTGAGCGCAAACCGGGTTTTCCTAATGAAATGTTCACGGTGACTTGCAAGATCTGTGCAAAGGCACTGCAGCTTCACCCGACAAAGTCACTTCCTTCCCTGTTTTCTGCAGCCCTGACACTCTCCACTCTCCGGCCTGGCGTCTTTGCTCACGTGCCCGGGGAGGATCGCAGACAGCAGGGGAGCCTGGCGCGGCGTGAGCTCCAGGAACCACTCCTGAGGGCCGTGCCGCAGCCGGCATTGATACGGAGCAGGGAATACAGCTGTTGTTTCTAAACACTCTCTCTTCCTTCCTATTCTTCCTGTTGGTTTATATTTTTAAAAGGCAGAAAGGACACGGAGGCCAGTCAGGAAGGCCAGTTCTGTGCTTGCGCTGCCACGAGGGCCCAGCGGACACGGCTGGGCCTGACGGAGTCCTCTGACCGACAGTCCCCAGCTGAAGCCCGTGGGCCATGGGTGGAGAAAACTCACCCTGGCTCACGGACTAGGTGGAGGGATCTGAACAGCTATGCAGTCTGTGATACCATTCTCCTTCCCTTAGGGGGTATTTTCTGTATTTCCAAGGCACTAGAGGATAATTCATGGATCACAGGGTCCAAGCTTTGGCAACAATAAGGTTCTCAGGAGGAAGCGCAGGAAGTTGACCAGACCAGGGGGGATGAAGCCTGCGTGGGCTGCACCGGGGAGGCTCCTGCCCCGTCGCCTTGTCCTTATTTTCTCGGTATGTCGAGGCTCAGCCGCTGGCCGGGGCGGCACAGCCCAGAGACAGACCCCGCCCGGCCAGGAAGGGCCTGCTGCTGGCGCTTGGCAAAATCACACAGGAAATCCGCACTGTCTTCTCGGGCCGTGGTCCTAGTGGGGCTTCTCGTCCCCAGGGGAGCGGGGATCGTAATGGATCGTTACACGGGAAAAGTCGATATAAGGCCATTTGCACAAGGACTGTTTGCCAAACACAAAAGAACTGGCTTTAATCCGCTTGGCACCAGCCCCTGCTCTGGACAGCACCGATTCGCCCCAGCCCGTGTGAGATGAGGGAAGGTCACTGGGAAAGGCCGTTTCCTCTGTGAGATCCTGGCAGCCCACGAGGAGCTGCAGGCACGGGGTGGCCAGCCCCTGCCACCGCCAGCCCCCGCAGAAATCCCGCCTGCCATTCACACCCAGCCTCCTTCCTGCGTGTGTAGTACTGTCGCTGCCATGTGTCTACCTTTGTTCTGTTGCTGTTATCATTGTGTATTTGTTTACAGCTCACCTTGCAACCTCAGAATGGTCTAAGGCCAATCGAGAAGCGTAGAAGAGGAACGGTAATATCTTGTGATCTTTTTATAATATCAGAAAAGCAGCAGTTGAAATAAATAAAAAGCAACAAAAACACCTACAATGACTATGGCACAGCGCCGTTCTCTGACGCCCACCTGACCACCAATGCCCGTGAGGACAGACCATTGCTAACGTTTTTACATTTTTATGCACTTATTTTCTCCTTGCTTCTCTCTGCTGGCTGAGATTCCTGGGGCACAGTCCTGAACAAGGTAAGACCTCCGTCCTGTCACAAGCCTGCGACACCAGCTGTCCCCAGTGGCAGGCTAGACTGGACGGGGGTGGGGCCCGCGTGCTCCCCGTCTGTCACGTGATCTCTTTGGAGCGGGGGAACTTTCTCCTGGTGAAACCAGATGGTGCTGCCATCGCGGTGTGGCCAGCGGCCTGAGAGCGCGACAAGCCCCCCTGGCGGGGAGGGAGGCTGATGTCCGTGGACAGGCTGGTGACGAGACACGCGCCCCCACCCCTCGGAGCCAAAGTGGCCTAATTAGCTCTCCGGGGGGAGGTGGCGACCCTGCCCTGCTCGTTCTCGGCAGCCCAGCCGAGGCAGGGCCCCTCCCCACCTGGTGACCACCCCGGGGCAGGGCCCTCTCAGGAAGGGACACCCTCCCTGCGGCATTCACGCTCCTGCCGTCACAGAACATTGCTCCCAGCGGCCAGAGTGAGTTACCAGACCGTGGCTTTTACGCTGACTCAAACTCCTTTCATTCTGACCCGGCCCGCACAGCTCCCCACAAACACACAGTCACTGAAACGAGTTTTGTGAAATCTTTCTGATTTTACCCCCGGTGACAAACTCTGGAGTTTCCTATGTCACTAATCACAGACTCAGCAGGAGGACCCACGAAACTGATCTCCCAGCCCACGAACAGGCCACGCCGGCATCTGAACAGCACAGGGCTGTACTTACAGCAGCTGCCGTGGCCCGCCCTCCGTGGGCGGGGAGGGCCGACGGCCTCTGGGGTCTGCGCCTGCACAGTCCTCAGCCCGGTGCTGGGTCATGTCGCCCGGCGTGGCCCGTCCATGATTAGCTCGCGTGCCTCCTCCTTCCAAAGAGGAGGAAGCAGTGGCCCCGACGGCCCGTGCCGAGGGAAGGTCACCCCTCTGGTGTTTCATCCACGGCTGGGGCGGAGCCTGGGAGCCGGAAGACACCGGCGCCTCCCAGAGGCGCTTCCCTGGGGCTGGCGAGGGGTGAGGGCTTCACAGGGAAGCCCTTTGGGAGCAAGCGTGCTCCAGCCCCCGCGGCCTCCGACTGGACGTGTGGCTCCGCCCGAACGCCACCTGCCAGAGCTCGGCTCGGCTCCTTCCCACGGGACCCGGCGCGCCCGGCGGTCTGAGCACACTCACCTGCAGGACGATGGGCAGCTGCTCGGGCGGGTTCCGGTTCTCCACGCCCATGGTCAGCCACACCTGGAACGCGGTCAGCTGCTCCGCGAAGAACGGGCTGTGCTGTGGGCGGCAGAGGAGAGCGAGTCAGGGCTGCGCCCCAGACGCTGGCCGCCCTCGCCTGTCCAGGTCTGCGCGAAGCCCCGCTCTGCAGGACCGCGATGGTCCCGGCGGGAGGAAAGTGCGCCCACTCTGGGGACACCACAAGAGCCCACTGGGTTGGTGACGAGACCAGACACGGGCGAGGGGTGGGTGGGGAGAGGTCCAGGGCCTGGGCACCCCCAGGCTGGAGCCGTTGCACGCAGCTGGGGCGCTGTGACAGGAGGAAGTTTGGGAATCAGCCTGGGACACGTGGCGCCCGCCGTGTCTGTTGGACACGCGAGTGGGTGGCTGACCACGTGTGGCCGCAGGTCGGGAGAGAGACACTTAGGAGTCGACGGCGTGTAAACTCTCCCTACGTGAAGTGAGAAAGAGAAGGGGCCCAAGGAGCTGAGGTGGACCCCGCAAGGGAGGTTGTCCGGGCACAGCCCAGCCGGGGCTGGACTCCAGGGAGGGGCCTTGTCCAGAAGGATGACGTGGCCAGCAGGGTTGCAGGGTCACCGGGAAGGGCCTGGAAAACTATGACCAAAAACGGACCACAGCTGGCTTGGAAGCTGGGGGTCGTCGGGACCCACAAGAACAGCCTGGGCTCGGCACAAGTGCGCCCAGCCTGGGCGCAAACGGGAGAGACGGGCACTGGACCCAACCACCGACACTCTGCAGGACTCGCTGCAGAGGGAAGGACGGCAAACGGGAGAGACGGGCACTGGACTCGAGCACCGACAGTCTGCAGGACTCGCTGCAGAGGGAAGGACGGCAAACGGGAGAGACGGGCACTGGACCCGAGCACCGACAGTCTCTGCAGGACTCGCTGCAGAGGGAAGGACGGCAAACGGGAGAGACGGGCACTGGCCCGAGCACCGACAGTCTCTGCAGGACTCGCTGCAGAGGGAAGGACGGCAGCAGCAGGACCCGGAACACACTCTACAGGCATGAGGACAGGGGCTGCCTGGGCGCGGATGAGAAAGGCTAGCTAAGGGAGCCTGGCTGCAGGAGAGGCTGCAGGGGGTGCTGGGGGAAGGCAGGGGCTGGGCTGCCCCTGGGGGGCGGGGGCGGCACCTGCAGGCCCAGGTGCAGAGAAGGGGAAGACATACAGTGGACCCTGCTCTCCGGCAGCTTCTGTCTCCCCAGCGACACAGAAACGGGGTGTCCCCTGGCAGTGAGGGCAGAGGAGGAGCAGGAGCCGGCAGGGCGAGGGCGAAGTGGTGGAGATGGGACTAAGGGACACGCATGGTCGGACTGCCGGGCAGCACTGGGCTGCGGGGCCATCGTGGGCAGGTTCGTGGGGACCGGGCCTCGTGGGCCTGGGCTCACCTGGTCGGCTCAGCTACGGGCACAGGCTCAGCCACAGATACAGGCTCAGCGCGGCCAGGTGGGAGCTCTGTGGGTGCCATGGGGCCGGTGGCTGGAGAGGGGGAGGGGTTTACAAGAGTGACCCCAGGGCCGGGCCGAGGAGCAGGAGGGCAGGGCGGCCGAGGCCCCAGCTGACGGGTCTGGAGGAGCACTGAAGTCAGAGTCGTGGGGATGGGTGAGAGGCGGGTCCCCAAGGTCTGCCTGTCCTGCACTGGGGCCACAGTGTCCTTTACCAGCCACGGCAAGGACGGGCACGCCACGGCAAGTGGCTCCGGGAGGAGGGCGGTCAGGCCGCGGGAAGGCCTGGGAAGCGCGCGGCCTCGAGGAGGCGGCCTGCTTGATTCCTCCTCACCAGAGTCGCCCCACTCGGTGCACGGTGCTGCCTGCCCTGCGCCCCGAGCACAACGAGTCCCACAGTTCTCAGTGTCTCCCCACCCGCCATCCTCTCTTCCCCACTCTTTTCCTGTCCTGGGGGCGTGGGTGGCCGCAGGTCAGCGTGTCCCGTGTGCGTGGAGAGGGTGGGGGTGTGTGTCTCTGTGCGGCGCGTTTGGGCGCAGCCCCACGTGGCCCCATGCACGGGGAGCCCGGCTGCAGGGAGCTGCAGCCCTGGAGCAGCCCGGCGGGCAGAGCCCTGCTGCCCCAGGAAAGCCAGCGTCCCATGAGGACTCAGCAGAGAGCAGTCGCCATTTAGGGGCTCGTGCCTGATGACGTCGGCCCACATGACGATAATCACCTCGGAGGGTGACCTGCGAAGTTGGCACGGAGCCCTCAAAGTGAACTTTCTGTTTGCAAGCGTGAATCAGTCAAAAGTTGGTGTAAAAAACCCTCGTTAGGTCCCCCCCTCCACCATGCCGTGGGAATGTGGTTTTACTGAGCTGGAAAAGCCTCCCGTCTGCGAATGGGAGTCAGGTAACGCAGACAATCACGTCTCTTCTCTCTCTCAAATCAGCTTTTGCCTCATGGATTTTCATGGCGCTCGTGGCCGCAGTAACCGCTCCACGCAGAAAGGAAAAGGAAGCTCCTGCTCTGCTCACCCCGAGCTGACAGAAAGGAAGAGCGCGGCGCTGCCAGCTCAGAGCTTGTCACGCTGCCTGAGCGGGGAAGCTGACAAATGAGAGCGGTGCGAGCACGGCTCGGCGTTTGGAATGACGCCCCCCACGGCACCTCGGGGGCTGCCCGCGCCGCGCCAGGATGACTCACGGCCCTGATGCGGCCACAGCGCCAGGCCCCCACAGCACGGCGCGGCTCACCACCCTCGCGGGCCGAGGGTCTGAGTCACTTGGCCACAGCCACACACTCATGCCTCCCTCCTGGGGCGACGCCGAGGCCAGGCGTCTGCTCTGATGCCAGCCCGGGTGTCGGATGG